TCGATGTAGAGGATAGACAGCTTTCACGAGGTGCTGACACGCGACATACTATAATTTTGAAGCATTGTAACTCGTTTTGATAAATTTGGGATTACTATTGTTAAAAAGCAACTGAAATCTATATTTTCTAATTTAAAAATAAAAAAGTTTAAAAATGCACAAGCTAACAGGTTTAGGAACATCCCAAACGTACATGATGTACATAATCTCCATTATCAATTGTGCAGGCTGGTTTTACTGGTATTATAACATGATCAGATGTGTGATAAAAAATTGGTACCTAAGCGCTACTTGGAGAGAGAATAAAGATGCACTACTTGTCACAACTAAATCCAATTCTCCATTATTTGAACCGAGAATCGTATACCCTGCATCACAGCAGTTATTGTGATATATAAATTTTATGATACATAAAGAAATGTGTTTTAAATGGTTCTCGAATTTATTTAAGGTTCCATAATTTAATAATAATATCTCCATGCTGAGTCATTTTTACATTATCATTGAAGACTCATAATTCCGTATTCCGATCTTACACAGTCAGAGTAGGACAAACACATAAATAACTTTATAGCATGCATATTCTGCTCAAAATCATTTCCAAAAGCAATATTACGATTATCTTTAATTAAATATTAAAAACAACTTCAACATATATACATTGTGACCGAAAAGCTTCCGGAAATTTTAAATAAAACGCAAAATTCTTAATCTTCATCAATATTTATTTTATCTCCTTCAAAATATGCTCCATTAGAAGCGATACACAAATGCCAACGTTTCTTCCAATCATCAAAACATTTTTATAGGCGCTTTCCGGTATGGCTTTGAGTTCCCTCTGCGAATTCTGTTTTACGTCTTCTATGGATTCAAAACGCGTTCCTCTGAGTGGTAATTTGAGGTTGGGAAACAGGAAAAAGTCACACGGTGCAAGATCAGGTGAATACGGTGGCTGTTCGATGGTATTTATTGAATGTTTGGCCTTAAAATCGTTGATAATGTTGAACAAATTGAGGTGAATCGGAACAAGCCGGGCGTTGACACGTCGCATACACAAATTGTCCACCAAAATCAAACGAGCCATCTCACGACCGATGCCTAGCTCTCGTGCTATCTCTCTAACACTCACATGAGGATTTTTGAACACGATTTCCTTTGCCTTTTCAATGTTTTCGTCGGTGGTAGAGGTCGAAGGTCGTCCAGAACGCGGCATGTCTTCGACGGTCGTACGACAGTCCTGAAAGGCTTTGTACCACTCATAAACTTGAGTTTTCGATAAAACTGATTCCCCATAAGCCTTTTGTAGCATTCGCAACGATTCTGCACACGAAATTTCGTTCGAAAAACAAAATTTGATGCAAACTCTTTGTTCAATATTTTTTTCCATTGTTTTTTTCGCAACGCACTACTGAGGTGAACTGGTTTCAACAGCTGCCGTAAACGAACTGTCCGACAGATCGCGCTCATTTTTGGCATAGTAATTAAGGACAGTGCTGCCAAACTACATAAACTTAAAATATCGAAAAATATACAGCGCGCGAATTTTAAATGAGAACCTCCGAAAACTTTTCGGTCACAATGTATAACTTTATTTATTATTTTATTTTATTTTATTTTATTATGCATTTAATATGCGTTTAAGTGACGTATAATTATAAATTCATATCGACAGGGCGATAAAGCTTGACACTGAGTGTGTCGTCGATATTGTGCGTTGTGCATCGAAAAAGTGGGTCAATTTTTAATAATGACATTTCAATTTTTATTATTGAAACAAGTAATTCTGAATGCATATTAAATGTCAAGTAATGGAAATTTTCAAGCAGATTTAATGCCCCAGAATATCACGTCTTCGGTTTAAATAATCGCTTATTTCTGAAACGAAATTTCAATTAAGAACTGTGATCGCAAGATTTACGGCATGGAAATGAGCGTTTAGGAAAGCTTAATTATGTCGAATGCATGAAGTGAGTTACAGACAATTTTTATAAACATTTTATTGTTTTTTTTAAATTTATTCAAAATTTTCCTAATTTAAAAAAACTACAAAAAAAAAAAACCAACAATTCTTCGAAAACCTCAACAACTTTCAATTCCATTCAATCTGATCCAATTCAAATCTATGTCACATGCATAATCAACTGCGTTCGCATCGGGCACCAGGCATCGGGCATGCGGTCTGAGACTTAAGTATTCGTCAAAAGATACATTCGAGTGCGGATGGGAATGTTCATTTGTTAGGTTAAATAGAAAAAAGTTGGAGTGAGTAACTGAAATATTGTCATTGGTTTTGTTGATCGTTTTACATGATTGAATTTAGATCGACAGCGACAATCGATTCAGTGTGGGAAGCCTGTTCGGTTGTTTGAAATGTGAATGCTGTCAATTGAGGTTGCCATATTACACATTTTATGGAACGTACATGGAAAGTGTAACGCATTGTGAATTCTTTTGTTTTTATTTTTATTATACTTTTTTTTTTGTTATAACATATTGTCATTTCTAGTTTATTGTACCTTATTGTCAATTGAAAATAACTTTAATAAGATCTAATTAATTAGAAGCACTCTCACCGCATGTTCAACATGACACAATTAAATCTTTTATTTTATTTTATATTTTAACTTTGTACTAAACTTTTTCTATTTATTTATTTTATTGAATAGAAATAAATGTATTTGTAAAATTTATTTGTACTCCACAAATGTTTCAAATACAGACGAACTATTAACGGTAGGCATTGTTTAAATCTTTTGAAGATTGATGGCAACATATGTAACCATAACAAAGCGTTTCATAATATGGTATTGAGTCTTTATGTGATCTAGCAATGGTTAATAGGAAATGTACAAAATATACTTCAATATTTATTTTAAGAACCATACTAACAGGACGTGTGATATGAGAAGAAAACTGACTAATTGGGGCATATTTTCAAATACTATTTTCAGAGGAGCAAAAGGAAAACATCGCTAATCTACACTATAAGTATAGTATAGCACGTCAATCAGTTGGAATCTACTTTTACAGAGTATTGCCGTAGCTATAGGTCAGGGAAGCAAGGGACACTTTCTTCACTTTCTCTGTATAGTATAGTATACAGACAATCTGGAGCCTGTTTTCAGGGAGTATTGTGCTACTAGGATATTACTATAAGAGCGTACATCCCAATCAGCCAGGACGTCGAGTACCTTTTGACACTCGCTCGTAGGTACCTCACCTGGCTCCACGACCTCCCCTCTGACGTCTCTATTCCTATAACCCTTGTTATTGTTAACCCTTGTTATGAAGATCTTCTTCTAGCCTTGTGCTTTAAACCAATACCTGTCTCACTACCTCAATGAGTGGGACCGTAACCTCCACTCCATTCCCTTATATAACCGCGGCTTTCGTGACCTCAGCCAGAAAATTTACCGCTAACCTCACCCCGCTCATCTGCACTAATCACACCACCTAACCAGTTGGGGCCTCTTTTCAAAAAACACTGCCATAGCTTGAACGAAATTAGGAAACAAAAAATGTCAATAATTTTGTTAGTGTGGCATAGCACGCCAAACAGTTAATGACTGCTTTCACCGACAATTGGCATCGTTACCTATATGTCAGAGAAAGAAAACGATAACGTCACTATCTACTCTATTAATACACTACACTCATCAGAAAGCTTTTATCCAGTTTAGGGATTTACTTTCTCAAGTGTCTGCCAAACATTACCAGTATCAGTAATGAAGACAAATCCTATTTCTTTAAACTATACAGTAATAATCTAGTTTAAAAGAGCGTTTCTTTACTTACTTTACTTAGAGTTCCTGAAAATAATTAAACACTGTGATCTTAGAACATTCTCAAGGCGTTCTAGGATTTACCATCTCATATCTGGTTCTTTGTCAAAATCATAAGTTTATCATCATAATCATAAACTGATTGCAGTTTTATTTATTACTTATTATAATATCCAAGTCTTCGCAGGATATTAGTTTAAAATAGGTAATTAAAATTGTAAACAAATGGAAACGAGTTACTATATTTATAATTAAGAATATTAATTTGTTCTCCTATTCAATGGATAGGTATTTAAGACAGTCCATTTTATAAAGAAATATCTTTATATACTAAATGTTTTAGTGTTATCTAGCACGCTTACCACACTTGAGTAATACTTCAGGATTAATTGTGCTATATTAATTTTGAATGCTTGACACACTTGATGAATTCTGCAGATTGAAAATTAGTATATATACATTCTGTTTGATTATATGTATGTGTAGAAAAGCAAAAATGCAAAAGAAATATTTTAAGATAAAAATTAAAATTTATTACATATAAATTTTTTTTACTTTTTTACTTGGATAGATAATATCCAAAATTGACTGAAGAAAAATATTGTAGGTTTCATCGTCTTTTCAACAGCATCCAAGCATGAGTTAAATTTCAATCCACTGAATGCAGTACACTGTGCGATAACTGTTATAAATATTAATTTTAATCTAAAGTCAAGTCAAGTTAGTTAAGTGTGGCATGGGCCTATAGTAGAAGATTAGTAGTATTGTAATTTGTAATACAAAAATTTTTTAAACGCTATAATCGTAAAACGGAAACTCGTGTTTCAATTGCTACTGATAATTTTGAATTGTAATTGAACAGCTTTCTCAGTAGTTGTTGTAAATTTACATAATAATTTTTCAATTAGTAAACAAAAAAATCTATTTTTTATTTATTATCAATAAAAGGTCAAAATACTAACAAAATAGAGAGCGTCCAGATGAGAAGAGAAAGAGCTTTAAGGCGTTTATTTAAATATTATTAAAAAACTTATCTCAATATTACGTCATCTCACAAAATTGAGCTTAAAACGAGGCAAAACAAGCTCAGAAAAGGTGTAAACAACCAAAACAGAAACGATTAAGTAACAAAACAATTTGTTTGATTTTAAATTAAAATTTTAATTAATTTCTTACTTTTAATTGAAATATTTTAAAACTAAACTTAACATTATTTATTCTATATAAAATTGTATATATCTATAACTCTCGACTTCTAACTTTCAAAATAAACTAACACAAAGACGTTAACACACAGACGTCTATAACCTCGAAATTTTAATAGCGATCAATGCCGCTGCAGTAGCCGCGACCAGTTGCAACAAATTAGCCTTTAAGTCTGTTGCGCTGTTGCAACCGTCGGAGCTGCATGTGTAGATACACGATCTGTAGTCCATGCGATCACCTTTGTTGCGTACGTAATCGCAGTAATTGCCCAAATCTTTCGAAGAACAGAAGCGTTTAGCACCGATTCCACCTTCGAAACGTCCAACATGTTTAATACAAAACTTGGCGTCGTGCACATTCGAACAGTTGCTCGGTTGCAAATCGGGTTCATCGAAGCGCTCGAACCACTCACCGCACTGAAAAGGGTTTGTTGTGTCAGAAGCGTCGCAAACGTAACAATTTATTGCGCTAGCAGCACTTAAGGCAGCAACAACAATTAGGCTTTGCAATAACAACATTTTATCATTTACATGCACTATATTACTTATATATATTACTATATTACAACAGCAACAACAACAACAACAAATGCAGTAAAACAACAATAAATAATATAAATTTATTATAAAATCGAAGCAAAAGACTCAAATGTCAAGTCGATACTGACGTTTAAAACTAAAGTTTTTACTTGTGTTGACTTGACCGGTTTTGTTGGTACACTGTTGCCGCTCATCAAGCAATCAAGTGTCTCTCGTGCTCTCTGTTTCCCTTTGTTTTGCTGGCAATTTTCATTTGGCTTTCTCCCATATTCTTAAGTTACTCATCGTTGCCATGCTGAACACAAATACCAAAACAAACTCGCACCTACATCAGCACTTCTTGTTTTGGCTCACACTGCCACAGAGCGATTTCGGTTGCCTTGCCTTGTGGTTTAAACTTTAAACTGAAGTAGCACATTCACTACCAACAAGTTGCACTACTGAGCTCGAATGCACTGCAACTCGAATGTGTGGTATTAACAATTTTTGATTGATTTCGTGGTAAGTAGGGCAGTCTAAATATGGTATGGAATGAGGTGAAATTAATGTACGGAAAAATTTTTATTAAATATTATTCATTATATTTTTTTTTAATGTAAATTAATACACTTTTTTATTTAAAATTTAAATATAAATTTTAATTAATGAAAAAATAAGTAAAAAATTAATCTAAATTTAAATAACTTTTTTTTAATATTGGTTATTAAACCATTTACGATTTTAATAAGCTTATTTTTTTATTTACTTAATTATAAGCTATAAATGCACTCCAACTGAAAAGAATATTTGTGCGCCTAAAGGCACCACTACAACAATTCTAGACTATTTATAAACCTCGTTATTGCTGTGGGCTTAATTTTTTCAATTTGATTTAGGGCTAAGATCCCGCTTTCAAGGTAGTTAAGTCTATCTCTTGATGCAGCTGAGCATTTGCATAGAATATATTCTGATGTTTTCTTCTCCTCATGACAGAGTCGACAGGAATCACTTTCTACCGCACCTATATTCTTAATATGGTGATTGAGTCTACAGTGTCTGGTAGGAAAGTTCAGTGTAGATTTTAATGTCGTTTCTGTTGAGATTAAGGATAGCATCAACTTTGATGTGTTTAGAATCAATGAATCTTTTTGACTGGTGCATGTTTGGGTTGTCTAGTGTTCAAGTAGATTTTGTTTCTCCCGTTCATACAATAAGTTGTTTGTTACTTCGCAGAAAGGCTTTGGACTTATAATAATAATAACAAAAAATTATACTAACAATAATGTAACATAAAGCGAAATTTTATGCTAATATTTTTCTTATACTACTAACATTACATTAGAAGTCTATTGCGATGCCATTCAAGTCAATTATGTTGCCATTATTCTGTAACTAGCCGTAAGCCATACATAGATCTATAAGATCTCTAGCAACTTATAGATTGTAGTTCCATCAAATATCTTCACGTTTGAGAGGTCAATCACAAACGTCAACATGACAACACACATTTTTTTCCCTAACAAAATAAGAAACCCATATCTCTAACAACCTATAGACTGTAGCTTTATCAGATATCTTGACGTTTGGAAGGTGAATCGCAAACGTTAACGTGACAACATAAATTTTTTCTTTAACAAAATAAGAAATCCATATCTCCAACTTTGCAGTTAAACTTTGTTGTTTTAATTGATCATGCATGGTCTTCATAACAGCTCTTCCAGAAAGTGGTGCATCTTTAACATCAAAATTACGAGATCAAAATTTTGCAATATGTGACAACAACACGTATATGACATATGACAGAAATTGATGTTTTATCTGTTATTGCTATAATAATGTGTTCAAGTTTATTATTACACATATTTTGTTTATAAACCTTTTAAAGTTGCTTTCAAAGAGAATGCCAAATTAGGTGAAATATTCCTTTATTTTATGAGTTGTGCACTTCTTTTTCTATTTGAGCCTGATAGAATTCTAAGGATTTACGCTGATACCAATTAAAGCTATAAGTTTGGGCATAGTTTTCTTCTTAAGTGAGAGAGCAAAACCCATAATACACCCATTAAAAGGGCCAATTGGTCAGGACAATAGAAGCTGTCGGACCTGACCGCTGTGGTGTCACTCTTACACCCCTGATCTGGTGCGGCAAGTGAAGCTAACTTACTAGCATTTATACTCAAGACAATATTGAGTGGAGCTCACTGGATTTTAATCGTCTATTATGACATGCAAGCCTTATGGTACATCGCGAATGTTTTAAACGCTTTCTAGTGGGACTCGTAGCTTATACAATTTGCAAATAGGACATTACAGTTTTTCAGTGAAACTTTAATTATTTTATATTGATATTACTATCGTTTATGAAATTTATAAGTCGAACATTATAGTTTTGAAGCAGGACTTTATCTAAAAATCCTTTACGCCTTCAAGAAATAGAAGAAAACCATAATTATAATTGGATGTTAATTGTAGGAAGTTATTTACAAAAAAGTTCCTGTAAGGAACACAAAAATGTTTTAAATTGCCAATAAATGTAATTTCGATATATATTTGATTAATTGTAGTTCTTTATTTGAAATACTTATTTGAAAGTATTTCTCATACCTTTACATGGAATAAACGTACCATTTATTTAATTTGTTAAGTATGTATATCATATTTTTTAGGTGGGATTCCGGAGATGTAGACATAATAAATAAATTTAATTATTTACTTAATTTTTTTTTGTGTTAATTTAAAACACTTTCGTAGTGAATAATTAAAAATTTGAAGGTTATTAACCTTTAATTGTGTTTAAGGCATAAACTTAATGAAGCTTTTATTAAATGATATCATTATTGTAATATTTTTATAATTACTTAAACTTGTAATTACGAGTATTAAATTTATAAAAGATTTATTCACACTCAGCGAAATAGCAATGAAAAAAAAAAACGGTTGTTTAAATATTTTTTTTGAATAATGTTAAAATAAGATATAAAAGTTTTTAATTGAAAGAGTAATAAACTGGAATCAAATTGTTTTTATACTAAACAAATGAGAGGAAAAATTGTAATTATATTTTATCTATCGTTTATTGTAAGGTATGAAAGTCTTCATCTTTACGGTTCATCTTCAACATCACCGCTTCTATGAAATATTCAATTTATCTGTTCAAAAATCTTAAAATTCAAATTCAAATTCAAACCAAACCAACTGAAATTTAGTGATCGTACTGAGAGGTAGAATTAGTGAGTCCATGATCTTAAATTTCTTCTCTACTGTTTTGTTCTTATTTTTAAACTTAGGCAACATTGGTTACCAAAACACATTTTTAGTTATAAGAAAACCAAAGCTTTTTTATTGAGGACAGTTTAATGCAATCGACTTTAAAGTTTTATAGATTACCTAGAAATGCAAATGTAATAGTACTACATAATCAATACAACACTTTGGCAATGGCTATAGTAAAAATTAATTCGTATTGAATCCAAACCTTATATATTTATTATATGACAATAATATAAAACAGATTTTGGTGTTGAAATCCATAATAACGACAGGCTTATCAAACTATGGAAGTCATTAAAACTTAATTTTTTATTTTATCAAAATCTTCATGTTCTTATATTTATATCGGTTGAGAATGAATTTGGACTTATTAACACTAACTGTATGTAGAAAAATATTAGTTTAATCCGTCCTAACACTGCTCAATTCATAAATCACAAATTCTAAAATTTTTATCACATAGAGGATCTAATCATCAATAAGAGACTCAATACTTCTGGACTTCATCTTTCTGGAAAAAGCTTATTTTGCTGCAGAAAATAACTTATCAAAATTGATGACAAGAACGCTGTGCAGTGTGCACCATAATGTAACCCTGTCGTTATAAAAATGAGAGTACTTACACAAATGCAGGAAACCTTAATCGATTCTAGACAGACAATATAAATTTCTGGCACGCTTTCGTAACCATCAGAATGGGAAGGCATAGAAATATATATTGCAACTAAGGCATTTAACGATCAACGAATCTTAATTTGTGAATACAGGAGAGATACAGCTGTCTTTAATTCTCAATTGCTACTTGACGTGTACTGAAGCAGATTCTAATTTTATGATTAAATTGATTAAATTAAAATAAATTACATTAGTTAAGTTAACTAAGCGATTGAATTTATGATAGGTGAAAGAACATTAAAAATTAAGATAAATTAACAAATTATTAACTGATTATTATTAATCAACCAGAGTTTGTGATTAATAGTTAATTATGTTCAAATATATAAGTCAAGTACGATTTTGGGTTAGTTGGCTAATGAACACTGACTCTGGGCTTCTGATTTGGCAGGGCACGAGTTTAACTCTTGGTACTTGCAACCTTAAAAATTATTCATGAATAATTAAATATAAGAAGTAATTTCCAAGATCACTGATGATGGGTAAAACCGCTGTATGGTCAGCCAAAAATTGAATTTCTTAAAAAATATAAACAGAGGTTTGGTTGTTGTAGCTTAATACTTTTCGAAATCTCCCTATAATTTACGAAATTTCTTAATTAAATGGTATGAAGACTGAACTCAGTTCGTTAATAAGAACAACTCTGTTTAAAATAATTATAGCATTTTTAATTTTGAAGCATGAGAATAAAAAAATATTTATTAATAGGAAGATATACTTAATAGTATGTTTAAACTGAAACGTTAATTGCAATAATTCACATATATAATTATTAATTGATTTTATTGTGATATTTATTGTAAATTGAATGAATTATAATAAATGCAGTAAAACTGTTGTTAGGTTTATTTGGTTTGTGTATATAATAAGTATCGGAAGAAAAGAAACAGTATTACATATTTGATTTATAAAGAGGTTTTTCGAACAGTAGTGAACTACAATAACAAACATTTTATTTTTTTTCTTTATATATTACTTTAATTAATTGAATTTTTGGTTGATCATACTGCTGTTTCGAGTATTGCCAAATACCCATCATCAGTGGTCTTGGAAATAATTCTTGTATTTAATTATTCGTTAATAATTATTTTATTATAATAAATAATAATATAATAATTTTATTATAATAAATCGAAATGACCAACTTTATAGAATAAGA